GCCCGCGCCCGCTCGCTCGCTCCCCCTCGCGCCGTCTGTGGTGCACAGCCTCGGCGGGAGGAGGAGGAGTGGGAAGGCGGGAGGATGGCGAGCGGGCTTCGCATCCTCGCGCACGTGACCGCCGGGAGGGGCGAGCAAGCGCGGATTGGGCCCAGCCACCATCCGGCAAGGTGATGCTGGTGCACCGCGCTTAGCTAGGTGGACACTAACAGGAGAGGCTTTCTTTCGGACCCTCAGTCTTTATCGAGGCAACAGGAAAATGGGCAAAGTGAAATAAAAAATTTCCCCACCTGACCCCGATGTAGAAAAGAAGGTGACACATTGGTTACCATCTAGAAACCATCAATGGTTCAAAGGCAAGGCTCCTTTAACCAAATACTCTTATCTGCTGAGCCATGGCCTATTACAAGATCAACTGATACTCTCCGGACTTCGAATAAACTTACCTTTTCTGCTTAAATGAGAATTTCTTTCTTTGTCATAAAATACTCCTAATTATACTTTTACCCGTTGTAATTTATACTTTCCATGTGTTTGGGGAGTTTTCGTTTGTTTTTTAAAGTCTTGCCAGATATGGCAGAGCACACCTTTAATTTTAGCTCTCCGGAGACAGGGGCAGGGGCACCGGGGTATCTGTGAGTTTGAAGCTAGCTTGTTGTACATACTGAGTTCCAGGACATCCAGGGCTAATATAGAAAGACCCTGTCTAAAACAAAACAAAACAACAAAAGACCTACTTAACAAATACTTAAGGAGGTGCTCTCTGTGCCTTTAGTCAGGAGCTTGGAATAAGTGAAATAGAATCCCTTCATTCGACAAGTTTACCACCTGTTAGGGCGAAGCAATATTTAAGCAAAATGCAGTCCACTGTGACGGTTGCAACTGAAGAAGCAGTGCAGGCATTTAGAGCTTACACAGAGTTGAACAAAATTAAGAATGGTCTGTGGAAGACACTGGTCTTACATAATAGGAATTCACACAGAAATGGGAGCAACCAGGTCATCTAAAAACTGGAAGAGTGTGGTGTGGTGTGTGTGTGTGTGTGTGTGTTGTCACATAAAAGCACAATGTGCTTGGGAAAGTATGAGAACAGTTACCAGAGGACTGACCCTTTCCTACAGTGAGCTTTTCCTAAGCTGTTTAAAAATAACTAGCAGACACTTGTGCATGCTTACAGTATAGGGCACTGTTCTATCATTTAACAGATGGCTACTCCAGCAATTGTGGATGCTATATAAGCAAGCAGAGTTCTACACTCAAGACCGTTTTTGAGAGAGACTAAACAGGAAAGAGATGCCCTATCAGGCAGCCATGCATTTTTAGGATCACTCTATCAGCATGATCAGATTAGAGGGGGGAAAGACTGGGAAGAGGGACAACCACATTTAGGCATTTGTTATAAAACAAAATCAGACAAATAACAGCAACAAAAAAATGGGAAGCGGACAAAGATGCATGAGCCTGAAAGCAAGCAGAAAGGAAGGGGAAATTGGTATTTGGGGTTAGAATCAACAGAGATGGTTAATTGGAGTTGATGGGGACAGGTAGAGTGTGTCTAATTTAAGGTCTAAGCTGACAAATTGAGACCCTGGGTGGCTGCTTATGACATTATCAAGATCAGCTGGTGGAACTAAGTAAAGCCTAGATCTTCAGTGAAGGAGCCCAGCTTGACAAACTCCAATGCTTTGTATTTGGAGCATCTGCAGGAAGTTCTGAAACCTGGCTCATCTGGCTGTGACATCACTCTTTACCTCATACCTGGCAGAGCACTTGAGCTGCTTTCTCCCCCCACCCCAAAGTTTCCTGCTTGGTGGAGACAACAGTCAACACAGTGGTGGAAAAACTACTGTGATCAAGAATATAAAAACAATGCCAATATAAAATAATAATAGATATTACAAACATGTTCTCCTTATATTCTCAGAGAAGTTCTAGAAAGTGACTCTCATTGTCTTTTTAACAGTTGGAGGCAGTAAACATCTGAGAGGCTCAGTGCTTTGTCCAAGATTATACCAGGAGTATGTGGCCATTTGCAGTTTGAAATGTGTAGTTTCAACTTATATTGATTTTTAAAGTGAATTTATAATAAAATATATATGGACTACATATTGCTTAGAAAATACATGACAAAGGGAGATGCCTCACAATGCACTTTTGTCTGTCAGCTTTGCCTATGTGAGCAGGTGGTATTGGAAGAGGGGCTCCTGGCTGCGAGCCCTCCTCAGCCTCCTCAAGCTGTCTTCCCTGCTTTGTATTCCAAGCTACCTCAACATCTGAACAGAATAAAGGAGAAAATGCAGACAACTCCAAAGACCTGACTGGTGATAAATCACCTTTATTTTCCCAAAGTCAAACCTTCTTTAAACAAAAGTGCTGAAACACAGCCGTACTACAAGTGACCTACATCAGTACATATCATGGCGTGTTTTTAGAAATGAGTTTTGACATTCCTAAGTGCTCAGATGGTTCTTAAATGTTCCGTTTCTCATATAGTTGATGTGGGCAGTATCAGTATAATTTACAAAATCCACACTATCTGATTCAATCAGGGCTAAACGCTGGTAAATCAAAAATATTGGCTGAGATACATTTAAAAATCAGTATCTGGAGTATATCTTAACTATTTTACCTTAAAGTAAATGAAAGCATATTCTTTACCAAACTTTTCCTATAGAGCCAAGAAGAGTTCTAGTATCTAAGCACAATCTAGGGCTTAAGAGAGAAGCCAAATCATAACACACCACAGTTTTCTACACTGAGCCATCTCTCCAGCTCAGAACTGTGTCACTGTGTTAACTGAAGCTGTGTTTGAAACTAAGGCAAGAGTGCTTTGCCGCAAATGGCTCCCATTTGCAAGAACATTCTCTGGATAAAAAATGCTTATGAGAAAGGTGATCTAGGACAATGGTATTTAAAATGACACTAAAACCCATCAATCTGCCAGTAAAAATGTTTCATTTTTAGCAAGTATTTCCTATCCAACCATTTCTAAAAATGTTATATATATATATATATGTATATAAATTATATATATTTAAAATTATATATATAAATATATATATATATATATATATATTACTTTCCTGCCACTTTGGTTATGTGAATATTGGAACAGGAAACCTAAAACGGTGGTTTTAATGTGTTACATTGTACAATGTCTGCATCCAGCTTACTGTTCCCATCTCAAGCAGTTAGGATGAGACTACACTACAACAGCACTCTTGAAGCACCTCCATAGAATTTGTGTAGGACACTTTCTCCATGTTGACTTTCTCGGGACAGCAGTGTTTCAGATTTGTAGCATGTGCAGTCTACCACTTAAGCATCTTGACACTGATCACCAACCTCACAGCTGAAAAGTTTGGAATATGGGAGCTGTTTGGATTTGGGTATTAAGAATGTTTTATTCTGATAGAATTGTAGATACGTAACAACCTAAGAAATGAAGAGGTAAATGTCTATTTATTATTTAAAGCAGTCAAATGGAGTAAAAATAATAAAGTTCCATGCAATGAAAATTAGAGACCATTTATTTAGAAATATTTGTATGTTTGCATTTCCAGCAAACTCATATGTATCCTAACAACTTCTATTTTCTTGGTTATTTTAGTCTACAAATCAATGAGTTGCACAATGACGTTTTCTCAAGCGATTCTTGTACTATGAACACACCCCATATTTTCCTCTCTTCATCCTCCCCTCTGCCACTACTTGCCTTCCTCTTCCTCTTCAGCCTTCCCATCATTTTTATGTGCTATAGTCAGAAAATGAGAGAAAACATGCAACATGTCTCCCTGACTCTTATTTTACTTAATCTGATAAACTCCAGTCCCATTTATTTCCTTCAACTAATGGCATGATTTATTACAGAATAAAATTCTATTGTAAATACATAACGTATTTGATTTATCCATCCATCCGTTGGACTCCTTGACTGATTCCATAGCTTGGCTATTGTAAATAGTACTGAATAGTGCCACGATAACCATGGATGATCAAGTGTACCCTGTGTGCTTAGATGACAAAGAATGCTATACCTGAGTCATATGATAGTTCTAATTTTAGTTTATTGTGGAACTTCCATACTGATTTCCATAGTAGCCATGCTGGTTCATATTCACTCCAGCTATGACAGGAGTTCCTTTTTCACACATGTTCCCTATCACTTTATGTCTGCTTGCTTTTTAAATGATAACCACCCTAGGTTGGAATTGAATTTAACTTTCGTTTCCATGATGGCTAAAGATATTGAACACTTTTCATTTATTTACTGGCTACTTATACTTCATTTTTTATGGAAATGCCTGAATATTTCATTTGCTCACTTAGATGACTGGATCGTTTAGCTTTGTGGAGTTTATTGTTTTCTGAGTTCTTTACATAGTCTAGATATTAATCCTCTGCTGACTATAAAGCACAGATTTTCATCTCTTCTGTAGGCAGCCTCTTTACTCTGCTGATTGCTTGGATGTGCAGAACTCTTTTAGTTTCATGCAATCTCACTTGTATGATTCTTGCTTATTTTTGAAGCTGTTGAAATACTAAGAATGTATTTTCTCCCTAAGAATGTAGCTTGACATTAGGTTCCCTTTGCTTTTGATTTGGATAAGTAGTCCTCAAAAAAAAAAAAAAAAAAAAAAAAAAACTTCAACTTTCAGAGCTGTGTCACCTCCCTGACGTCACGGTTTTGATGTATTTGATGCTGGTTTGTGTGATTAGGAGACAAGAGACCTTAGGAGAGGGAAGAACTCACATATGAAGTTGGCACCACACGTTCAAGTTTATTGTACAGCCACGAGTTACACACTGGAAACAAAGCAGAACAAGGTACCTGCTTTTACTAACTCAAACCAAGTTAGCAAATGACAGATTTCAGAACAGACTCATTTTACGACTCACCCAATGTGGGCGGTCACCAGAAGCCAAAGAATATTACCTTCCATGTTACTTAAAGAGCAAAGTAATTTGATATACACAGCTTCCAAGTTACCTCAAAATCCTGGAAAGTGTTTTAAACATACGGAATAGTTCATTTTCCACCTAAAATAAAGTGAAGAATGGATGGTTTAGAAGTAAAAAAACAAACTTCACCTGTCTATCTACAGCTACAGCAGAATTGCTCTTTTCTGAAAAAAAAAAAAAAAAGACCTCTAATAAATCCTCTAATAAATGTCTATTCAGATTAGGCTTACTAAATTAATAATGACTTATAAGCTTCGTTACATTGTTATATTGCACTTGAGAACAATGACAACAAAAATCGAAGATGCAGTACCTCTCAGAGAAAGCGTGACATATCAGGAATTACAATGAATGCCAGTGTATACTGCAGACAGCACATCCACAGGTTCAGGGTTCAAAGGAAAGGAACAAAGTTCAAAGAAACCTTTTACAAATCACTGGACATTAAGCCATTTTATTTGCCCTTTTGGATCCCATACTATAATTTTGTTCATCTTTTCCCCTTAGTCATCAAATTAAACGTACAAGCCACCCATGAGTAAAAACAAGGTGACATTCAGATAGGCAATGGCCACACAGGTATTCTAGAACAACTAACTCGTCCCCTCCATGAAGCCCTTCACAACATTCTGTCATGGGAACAGATGCAGCTTAGCACTCTATTGCCCTACCAGAACCAGCTGTTCTAGCTATACTTTGCCACAGAAATCCCTCTGTGGGGTTAGGCTCACTATCAAAACCTTCACTGCTATTAGCGAATTTCTTCATTCTACAAATAATGTTGTAGCCATGAGGATTAACTAGTCAGTAATTTAATAATTCAGTAGAATTAAGACAATAACATTGTGACTCTTTCACCTTTTATAGTCATAATTATGGTGATAATTAAACATAAGGGGGAGAAGTGACCCTGACACAGATGTTTTAAAGTATCCAGTCTAAAATAAATACTTCTGTAAGAAATCAGTATCAGCGTCAATATTTCTCATGTGTGTCAAATGTCCTCTGGATTGCTCAGTTTTTCTTTTAACTGAACTAGGTTATGAAAATTTTATACTGGCAAACGAATTTTAATTCTCAGTAAATTATAAATATTAGTCTAAAATAGTCCTTTTGATATTCTGTCGAACATATTTATATGCAGCTATAGAATAAAAAGAATCAACATGTCTTTCAGGGTTGACTTTGAAATTACAGTTCCTAAATTTACAGAGATACAAGTTTATATTTTTAAAAAGAAAATCCGTGCTATTGGAGAAAACTACACATCATGTTAACTTCTAGTTACAACATCTTTCCATCTTTAACAGAAAGTTACTCCTTGGCAAAGAAGCCATAATAGGAATGACTGTAAAAAATCAATATTGATTCTATTGTCAAAGAATGAATTTCAATGATTTTTGGGAATGACAGCTATTATGTAATAAGACAGAAAAGATGAAAGTTTTTATAGGTCAGCTTAGTGACTGTGTGGTGGTGGGCATCACTTGGCCCTAAGATAAAAACATTTTTCAAAAGTATTTAAATTTATTGGTTAAAAAATATTTGTGTATATGATTATGATCTTTCAAGCCATTAATAGAGTCTATACCCCAAAAGTTATTTTAAAGTTCATTAAAGCTTAATGTAGGGTCCTGTCTATATTCTAACTTGTACAACTCACCTACATGTGTTTCATGTTATGAAAATAAATTCTCCAAATTAGCTCAGCCATATGCACATGGAATTAACATAAGATATAATGAGACAAATTTCAATTATTTTTAAAATGTAGAAAAATATTCAGTTATTTAGGAGAAATATTTTTCATTGCTTAATGAGGGCAGCAGTTTATAAAGCTATTAAAATTCTTAACTTCTAGTGCATAACATGATGTAATTGCACAAAAATAGCTATAATTGATAGTCATCCCATGGCCTTGAGGAACTGTGAATAAATCAGGGCCACTTAACTTGCTAACTCTGCTGCCTTCATTACAACCCCAGAAAATTTATTTTAACAAATATAAGAAAACTTTGGAAGATATTCAGTAACAAGAGCTGCTTATAAAAATACATTTTTTTAGCATTTATTCTGACAACTGAGGCAGGTTTTATGCATTGCCTTGCTTAACCTGAGTAATATCTATGCTAGAAACAAAGGAATGAGCTAGCTTTGAAATGTTAATTCCAAGCATTTCTCATAAGATAAGGGTGGGAGATCCAGGTTCCTATAGGTTATAAAGACAGTCTTGACCCATCCTCGATTTTGGAAATAGAAAGAAAATATGAATACAGGACAAAAATAAATTAACACCAATTAAAAGCTCCAGTCTAATTGAAGAATGTAATTTTGATGAGCAATTACAGCAGAGAACTTCTTATATGATGCAAACAGCCAGACAAATGAAATAGATGTACTTCAGAAACAACTTCCAACTCATAAGGTTTCAATCATCATCATTATTTAGCTGAGATCAGACTATTGCTTCATGGGTATTTTTAATTATAGAATTTTCTGCATGAAATGGCTTAAAGGATTTGATGTAGAATTTAAATTACAAAAGTTAAAATACAATAAAACACAATGCAGACTAAACATAAATAAAAACCTAATTTTCATATAGAAATACTGTACCGTTGTTAATAAAGGAAACCGTTGCTTTCCCCAGTGCAGAGGATTAGACCCAGGGACCTGACATACCAACTAAGCACATGCTTTGAAGTGGGCTACAGCCCCAGGAAAGAGTTCTGATGGTATCAGATTTTTTTTTTAAAGTTCAACTATGTAAATGATATTAAAATCTAAGTCCATGCAACTGCCAAGCCTTCAGTAGCTTACGACATCAACTGTAGTGTAATGTGTATTATAATGTTCTAAGTACCTGTACAAAATCATTGATGCTAAGGTCTAGATTGGAATTGCTTTAAAAATTCTAGTTGCCTTAACATAACATCGAAGAGGAGAGAAACCTCACATAGTAAATTAGAAACAGTAACTAAAGAGGTACCATGTTATATAATGTGGTAACTCAGGTGCTATCTTATGTACACTGAACAAGGATTATCACTTGAAATTTCATCACTTCGATGCCTAAAAAACACAGGTCAGTGTATGTGAAGTAAATGTAATCTGAACCTATTCATAAAGAGAAGTTGACAAATACTCATTTCAGTTTTGTGGGTAAACTGAGACTACTGGGTACCCTCAGCAATACAATCTTGGGATTTTGTTCTTCATGAAAGACATTTAACTCCATCATCAAAGTGGTAAATTTAGAGAATCCAGAAGTGGCACAGCTTAAGGACGACAGTTAGGTTTCAGAGTTTCCTTCGCCGTTCTCATGAGGTTGGAGCTGTTCTCTTTCTTGCTCTTCTTGAGGTGGTCGGACACGTTTAAAAAAGCCCATCTGTCAGTTAAAGGAAAACACATCTCTCACTAACAGAATGCTAAAAATATAATTGAGTGACTGTTACCTTCTTGAAAATTCAAATGGCATTTCTGTTTAGTTCCCCATCCTGAAATGAGCCCTGCTCACCAGGTGGCATCATTGTGGCTCCCTCTCTTCTTATCCTTACTCTTTTTCATCCTTTTTCACCACTATCCCTTCCCCTTTTCTCCTAGTCTCTCCCCTCGCCCTTCCAAAGTCCATTCCTTACCCTGTACATTACAAATACCAAAACAGCCAGTAACAGGAGTCCTGCGAGAACTGCCATGATGATCACCCACACGGGCACAGGCATGGGTGCCGGTTGAATGCCCCAGGTGATGTTGGTGGTAACCTGTTGGGGAAAACACATTGAGCTTTAGATAACTCTTTGACTTGGTAAGTACAAGTTGTAACTTTTAATTTCGATTTTAGTGGTATTCACATCATATTCTTTTTTCATGCAATAATCCTGTGAATGCACGTTAGGTGTCAATAGCATGCACACAAAGCTTCAGCTTTCATATGAAATGTCCAGTAAATAACCCAATACAGATTATGACAGCTGATCCCACTTTCAGTACTTAAATATCTTCAAAATTTGATTACTTATTGTACTTAGTTTCCAACCATATAACTTTGTGGGGAGAAAGTAACCAAAAACATCTCCCAGCAAATTTGGGACACAGTAAAAACCCTGTTACATGGAACAAAACACTAAAGAATAAGGCCCAGCTCTAGTAATCCTAGGATAAGGAAGTAAAGGAATACCATAGGATAAGAGTA